AGCGTGTGGGCGTGCGGGGACACCGGGCTGGAGAAGTCCCAGGGACCAGAGCAGCGCCGGTGCCTCGCTCGCCAACCGCACTTAGCGGGTTTGCTCGGCGCACCCTGCACCTCCGGGCCAGCTGGGAACTGTTAACGCGCCCATTTCACTGAGCTGGAAACTGAGGCTCTCTCGCGGGTGGAGGTTGGGGGCTTCGGGGGCTGTCCCCAAAGTGCGCTTGAGGCGTGAGTCTAGTCGTGGTGAATGTGTCTGATTGTGAGTCCTCCCTGCTGGCGGGTCCCCTGGGGCCCACATGATAACGTGAAGCTTGACCACTTTGGGCACTGGGGAGCCACAGCAGGATTCAGAGTAGGAGAGAAGCCCAGTGTCTCTGGCGCTGGAGCTGGTGGGGAATGGGGTGAGGCCTGGACAGGGCCCAAGGAGGTTATGAAGACCCATGGTTGGGGCCCAAGAAGAATGGGGGAGACTCAGCAGCGAGAAGGGACAGGATTGGGGACTGAGGGGTGGACACTGGGGGTCGTGACTCCTGGCACAGGCAGCCAAGTGGGGATGTCCCTCAGATGGTGGCTTGGGAGGGGCAGTGGGACAAGAAGACAGTGGGCAGGCTTGGGACCCTGGGGACCTCCGGGGACATCTCAGAGCTGTGCCCCAGCCTCAGCTCTAACTCCTTTCCTGGTGTGCTTTCATTCACCTTACACCGATCCTGGGAAATAGGAACAGGAACTGTCCCCACTTCGCAGGTGGCCACCTTGCTGCCCAGGGAGGTGAAGTCTCTTCCTGGGCCAGGAAAGGACAGTGCTGGGTTTGAATCCAGGCAGCTGCCCCTGGATGCCATGGTATTAATCCTCAAATGTTACATAACACGATGAATGGGGAGGGGCTGGCAGGGCTCCGTGTGGCTGCAATCAGGCCTTGGAATTTTCCAGAGACCAGATTTCGGGATCCGGCCCGGCCACACCACCAGGGACAGGAAAAACCTTCTGAGCCGTCACACGACTGCATGGTGTGTCAGATGGGGACTGCGGCGTGTTTGATGGAGCAAGATTGGGGCACCTTGCAGGGTCTGGTCTCAGTGCCAGGGTGGAGGATTCCAGGCCCGCACAGGGGGTGAGGGTGGGGGGCGCCTGGCTGCAGCTGGGGCGACCAAGTCCCCTGCTAAGGAGAACCAGGTGTGGCAAGCCTTCAGAAGGTGGGCAGCTCAGGGACCCGTGGGTGTGAAAGAAACATCACTGTCACCCTGCAACCCTTGGGGGTGGAGGGCCAGGTCCATCCGAGCGTTAATTCAGGTATCTGTGTATGTGCAGAGCTGTATGGGTCTCTGTGTGCCCAAGACAGCCCCAGCCCCACCCTCGTAAAATGACAACTGTTTAAGGTACTGCAAGGAGATCATCCAAGACTTAACCAAGTCAGGGGTCAGGGAAAGTTCTGGAGGTGAAGACAAGCAAACTAGGCCCTTTTCAGACAGTAGCTTGTCCATGAAGGAGGTGCCTTTCTTAGCCTTAAGTTACAGATGAGGAAACTGAGGCTCAGGAAGGCTCTTGCAAGCTCAGGATCTGCAGGACTGCAAGTGGCCAAGCCCTGCTTCGAGTCTAGGTCAGGGTGGATCCAGACAGCCTGTTGTCCCCACCCCTGACCACAGTAGGGTCCCCCCAGGCTTTCTGCCCCAGCAGCCCTGGGGAGCGGTACCAGGCGGAGTCCTCAGGCTGACTGAACATCTAGAAGCTTCCTGGGGGGGGAAGGAAATCAGAGTTCCTGGCCCGGAGCCACACAGCCTGCCGGTCAGCTGCTCTCTCTGCCTCTGCCCTGGCTGCCTGCTGGGTTTTCCTGGCTGAGCCTCCACCTCAGAGCTGTTGAGGCCTCCTGGTCCCAGCCTGTGCCCCTCTGAGCAGGGACCCCCTCTACCAGCCTCCATGAGGCCCTCTGGCTGGCTGCCTTCAGCCCCACCCTGCCCCGGGCTCCCTGCCCAGCCCAGCTTGGCCCCGGGGTTTTTTGGGTGGCAGCCGGGTAGGAATCCCCCCAGGGCCACCCCTCGGCTCTCGCTAAAGGCCTCTCACAGACATTAGGGAAGGGTAGGGTGATTACTAATGGGTACAGGGTCTCCTTCTGGGATGATGAAAATGTGTCAGAATTGCATAGAAAATGTGTCAGAATTACATAGGCGGTTGCACAAAATTGTGAATGCACAAAATGCCCAGGAATTGTGTGCTTTAAAATAGTAAGTTTTACACTGTGGGAATTTCTCCTGCAATAAAACAAAGAAAAAAGAAAGCGGGGGTGGGGTGGGGGTGGGGCATGGATTTAGACACAGGGCCAGGGAAGGCATTTTTGAGAAGTGAGCCACCGAGAGGGTGATGTCCCCATTTGGGACTCTGGAAACAGGGGGACATGGCACCTGCACATCCCAAACAGATGAGGGCCTGGGTTGAGAACCAGGGAGGGAAAACTAGGATATTCAACTTCGTTTCTTGGAATCCATGCTTAAGATTGCAACAAACTTTATAATAAAATAAAGAACATAGTTATCCATAGTAGGATTATTCACAGCAGCCAAAAGGTGGAAACAACCCAGGTGTCCGTGGACAGATGGACGCATAAACATGACACGGTCCATCCACACACTGGAATATTCTTTAGCCATGAAAAGGAAGGAAATTCTGACAAGTTCTATGACATGGAAGAATCTTGAGGACATTACAGTCAGTGACATAAGCCAGTCACACAAGGACAAACACTGTGATCCCACTCACAGGAGGTCCCTAGAGTCATCAGATCCACAGAGACAGAAAGTAGAATGGGGGGTGCCAGGGTCTAGGGGAGGGGGATGGGGAGTGAGTGTTTCATGGGGACAGAGTTTCAGTTTGGGAAGATGAGAAAGGTCTGGAGATGACGGTGGTGATGGCTGCACAGCCACGTGAATGTGCTCAATGCCACTGAGCTGTGCACTTTAACATGGTTAAATGGTAAATTTTATGTTCTGCACATTTTGCCACAATAAAAAAAAAAAGAAAAACATATTTGATTCTCCACCCCCGAAAAACACAGCCCTAGGGAGCCTAGTAATGCCCCCATTTTACCGATGAGGAAAGTGAGGCAGGGCTTGTGCGATGAGAACAAGATCTCTGCTTTGCAGAGTGGCAGGGCAGGTGCAGTGGGGCTGCCTGACCCTCCCACTCACACACCTGCCCTGGGTTCCTGAGGCCTGAGTGGCCTCGGGCTGGAGCCCCAGCCTGGCACCCATCCCCCTGTATCCCCCACACTCCTGCCACTGGCTCGATTTGTCCTCCAGCCTCTGTTCTTTCGCTGACCTGAGGTAACTCTCCAGAGTCAGCAGATTTCTCCAGAGAAGTGCCAGGAAGCTGTGCTCAAAATACCTGCTGCAGGTGGAGGGGGTGCCTGCTGAGACAGCAGGGGCGCTGGAGTCCCCGGAGGCCTCTTTGGGAGGCTCACAGGGCTGGGTGGGGGTCGGCATGGCCCAGGCGTCCTCAGCCCGTCCTTCCTTCCTGAAGGTGCCAGGGTAGGAGCGTCCAGGAGGTGGTACTCGGCCCAGCTCCCACGTCCCTCTCTGGCCACCTGGTCTTTAACAAGCACCCATGAAGGCCGGCCTGTGGCTCACTTGGGAGAGCATGGTGCTGACAACACCAAGTCAAGGGTTGACATCCCCTTACCAGTCATTTAAAAAAAAAAAAAAAAAAAAAAAAAAAAAAAAAAAAAAACAGAAAAAAACAAGCACCCATGGAGTCTCACGTGCCCAGACTCATGAGCCCTCGGTCCCGCCATGCAGGTACCCGGGGACCAGCAGCCCCCAGAGCAGAGCAGGTGGGGGGTGTGCTGCCACCACTGGGCTCCAGAAGCCCCATGATCATGGTGCCAGGCTGTGGTGACATGGCCCAGGTGGGCATGGGAGGGGGACCACAACTAGGTACCCATGTTCC